TATGACTTCCTAGGGACAATACTCGTCTCTGTCCTTTCAATGAAGACCAGTGAGGTCTCTCACAAACAGCTCACTATCTCCGTGAACTTCACTTCTCCAGTAATTCCCCACACCTTGGTTTCCTCAGCTCTAAAATAAAGTGCTGATATACACACTGGAAATGTTCTCATGCACGTGTAAATTACACAAGACTGGACAGGCTGTTCTTCACTGGTGTTCTTAGGACACTTCCATGTGTGGAGAAATGCATTGTGGAACATGAAGTAGAGCACACAACATTGTGATAAGACCTCATCAGCCCACTTGTCAGCTATCTTTGCTGAGCCATCTTTTCCATCGTGAGTGTGAGTGTGAGATGGTGCTCTTTGGAAATGCATAACCACAGGAAGCCTGGCTCCCACTCAGCCCTATTCCTTCAGGCTGAAAGTAAACTGGAACAATTTCTATGTTTTTTAAGTTTTGTGCCTTTTAAATATTCAGGGACTCTGATGATAAGAATGCAGTTAGGGGGAAATAAAATGCATAAGAGTGACACACTTTTTGTAGGATGAATGGCCTTTGTGTGATTAGAAAGTTGAGGGGAAAAGGAGAAACTGTTTCTTATTTAGTATTCAACATCTTTCACGCTCTCCTTGCAAATATATCCTGGGTGCTAAGAGATATAGTAAATAAGTTGATTTGGAAATGCAGCAACTATAATGTAAATTATTCATATCATCATGGGTGGTGTCTCCAGCACGGCATATTTTATCAGTTAAAGCACTTTTTCATTCGTATTATAAAAACAGAAGACTGGATTCTCTTGTTTTTCTCTATACACTCATTGTGTTCATAGTGAACTCACAAGTTGCAGGTGTAAGAATCACCCCCACTGTGACCCAAAGCATGATTTGATGAGTTTCAAGCATTTTAGAGAGAAAAAAGGAAACAAGTACATGTTCAGAGTCCATCCTGCATGGCCCACCTTAGTCACATATGAAATGATGCACCTTGACTCATGGTGGATCTCCAAAAAATCCAGGTTACTTTAAGCTTCTTTGGAAAAAATGAATTATTAGATATAGAGGAAAGGACTGAAAACACCCAAAACTTGTTGGTCTTTTGGGGAATGTGATTGCTCGGATCTCCTTACAGAACTCTGCTGTACATTCTTAAATGTCTTCTTTGGATTTTATTGTTGTTATTTTACATCTATTCTATGTTCTCTACTGCTATGATGCCTTGTTTATTGGTGATAGCTAGGACATACATTGTTCATGGAGTATTGGGGTCTCAAAGCTATTCATCCTGGAGATGTTAGACTCGAGTTCAACACTAGGTAATTACAGAAGGAGGCATCAAGGTAGTGGTTCCCTTTAAAGAGTCAGAATTGGACTTCAGGCATGTGAGCAGTTCTCAGAGGAGATGAAGGCTCAGAGTAAGCTGTGTTGAGATAATATGTTTTTCAAGTAAGATTCAAAGATTGATGCTGAATTGGAAATAATGGAATATGGATCCATGGCTTATCATTGTGGCTCCTCACTGGAGCTCATAATCAGTTATGATCTCTGTCTGACCTATTTATAGCCATTTTAAAGAGAGAAAATATACTCTGCTTTAGTTCACATTTGAATGACTTGCATCCAGTTTTATATATGATGGATGCAGGAGAATGTATCATACTAACGAGAACAGGCAGAGCCACCAGTATTGTGACAGTTTTGTATCAAGAAAAGGCACGGCTTCAGTAAAAAAGTTGTCTTTCTAGCTAATTCTTTCGTTTAACTTTTCAATAATATCTTGCCCCAAATACAACCATCATTTTTATTAAATTCCATCTGACATGACACTGACTTAGACACTCTCATTGTATAATACTCAGCTCATTTGCTTTTGCCTAGGTATATTTTTCACCCTTGTAGGAGTCTTGGGAAGGTTTATTATTTTACAGGACAACATAGTTTATTCTACTTTTGCAGAAGAATAATTAGCACTGATGTCTTACTACAAATGTCCAGACAAGTCTTTTATCAAATCTACATTATACAATTAATCATCCATTTGTGTGCATGTGTTTGTAGAAAATACTATATTATTTTCTGATTGAAATAACAGCCTAGATTCTTTGGAAGTATCTATTGAGACAAAAGACCTAGGCAGATTTTAACATATCTTGATACATCTAGGCTTAGTGGTACATGTTTCTCAATCCCAGCTCTTGGGAAGTTGAGGCAGAAGACAGAGCTTGTGGCTGAATTCTGTTTCCTCTTATGCTCTAAGAGCCTTCCTAGCTCTCCAAGTTCCACCAACAGATTGGGAGGGATAACATGCCCTCAATGAGTGTGTGTGTGTGTGTGTGTGTGTGTGTGTGTGTGTGTGTGTGTGTGTGTTATTCACCAGAGAAGGTAGTTAAAATATGCTCATATATACATGTTCCCCAGGGCACTGACCACTGGAATTCTGGAAAAGAACATAACAGCCAGAACAATCTACCAATTTCAAAATGCTTCTACTTGAGAAGGGAATCTCTTTTTCTGATTCACAAAACATATCATATGAACTCTTAGTGTCCTTAGAACAAACTGCAATTTGGTGTCCATGATGCCCAATCTTTAGTAAAGGCACAGCTATGATGGATCATAGTTTTGACTCTTTGCATCAAGGATGTGTGCTCAATTCAGTTGCCAAGGACAGAAGTTTCAGAGCTGACTCTAGTAGTGCCTCCAAGAAGCCATGGAATCTATTAATAGGCTACTCTTGACAATAGAGAACAAGTGGAATAGTTTATTTCAGCAAAAGCCCTCTACTTTTGCTCCCCTCAATACTAGTACGTGATGTAGAAGTTGTCTTTTAAAATACTTTCTTCATCCCAGGATTGGGTCAGGCCACCAGAGAGCTGAGTACTCAAAGTTCACTGCTTGCCTATTTCTAGAACATGTTTTACTCAGTGCTTTGGCACACTGTACCCTTGGTATATTCTGTGAATGCCATGAGACTGCCTCAGATGCCACCTGGTGTTGTTGGTTCTAGTTGATGATGTGGTGTTCAGCATCACCTGTATTTATGAGGAGCACTTGGTAAATTCTACAAGTGGGTAAAAATAGAGCAATGGCTCCTTATAAGGAAAAAAGAGAGGTGTCCTGGTTTCATTAGCTGTGCTAAAACATACCCTAGAATGAACAACTTAGGGCAGAAAGGTTCATTTTAGCTCAAAGTCCAGGCTAGAGTCCATCACTGTGTAGAAGTCACATTAGGAACTTGAAGTGAATCATGTCCACAACCCGGAGCAGAAAGAAATGAATCCATGCATGCTTAATACTCACCTAACCATTTCTACTCTAGTCAAATAGAACTCAGGTACCCAAACTAAGGTTTTGTACCACCCATATTCAGAATGGGTCTTTTCACATCCACTAATCCAACAAGACAGTCCTCCATAGATATGTCAACAGACAAACCCAATGTGGAGAGTGCTGTATTGAGATGCTCTAGATACTTAGAACTGAATATCACAAGAGATGTCACATATTAATTTATATATGGGGACTTCAAGGTTATAGCAGCTATTTCTTTCTCATTGATTGGTAGGATGATTATAGTCAGAGTCACCACCATTCTTTAGTAACTTTACTGGGTATTAGGGGTAACAATGTTTACCTGTAAGACTTTTATGGTATTCAGGCCACTTCTGACCCTATCTGTCTGTCTGTCTATCTATCTATCTACTCTTATCTGATACCCATCTCTATCATCTATTGATCTCTCTTTCACCTATGTATCTTCTATCTTCCTATCATCTATCTGCCATCTATCATCTATATATCTATCATATGCATATGTGTTTGTGTGTATATATATTTTCATAATCAAATATCAAAGTTATTCCCATTCTCTTCCACTCTTAGGTGTAATTTTTTCTGTATAGAAAAATTCTATCTGGAACTGGGGTTGTAGTGAATAGGTACATTAACATTTGTCTAGCATGCCTAAGACCCCGAGTTCTGTGTTTCTATCATTACAAAAAAATACCCAACAAACAGATAGAATTATACATTTATGTATGGTAGGCACATCAGATTTCATATATTCAAAAACATACTATTTGAATGTTTCCTTTCAAAGCTGTGCCTAAAGAGGTTTTGCTTTCTTAGTGACTGGTGCCAACTGTTCATTTGTCTGCATTTCATATTTTAGTGTCCTGCTTGAGGTTTCCCTCTTACCTGACATGTCTACCCCCACCACCACCACTGCATGCTTTCTGCCTAGTCTATCTTCTAGTTGTCAATTCTCTCCTAATAGTTTTACTTATCTGTAGTTGCTGGAACCATTTCACACCAACTTCATAACACTGACCCCAAGCTTATCTAGCCCAATTCACTAGTAATTGGTGATGCACACTAGTCTAAGTTATTTTAAAGTTCTTTACTGTTTTAAATTTCCCTCCTGACATTCAAGGCCCTTTACAGTTTGGTCCCTAACCTGTATTCCAAATCTCATCTCCACCAGTTCCTCCCCTCCCCTTCATGTCCTTCAAAGCAACTACCCACTTAATCACCAGTCCCTGAACACAAACATAACTAGCATTCAGTGCCATATTCTCTCCGATGTGTCCTTCTTGACTCCTTCAAGCTCTTATGTTTCCCGATGGCTCTTCTCAGATATTGTCTTGTGTATTTCCCTCTATTTCCTCCCAGAAATGGCCTCATCCTGAGTCATTCCACTCACCACTCTAAGGGATGTTTGTTCTTCATCCTCTTTGGGTCTTAGTAGTGCGTGCCAATTTCTCTCCTCGGTTGTGAGTCCCTCAAGGAATTATCTGAAAAGAAGGAAGCAAATATATGAGAGAGGCTCCAAACTTGATTACTTTTAAGACCAAAACACAATGGAATGGGGCATCTGTTATGTGGTTGCATGAAAGTCACTTGCAGTCGGAGCATGTCATGATAGCCAAACAGTAGCACTCACCTGTCTTTATCTTGCTTTCAGGATTAGGCAAGTGAAGACGCTGAGAAATCTGAAGAATGTTCCCAAGGAGTGATCTGGCTGTCACTCACTGGGTTCTGAGGAGCATGAGGAAGCTCTTTCTAGTGTTTTCTCTCCTGCTGTCCCAAGCAGCTCATCTGGAAGGCAGAAAGGACAGTCAGTTCATCTGGAAAACAGGTGAGTCTGTCCTGGATCTTCATTTGTCCCACAGTCATGTGAGAGAATATTCCTTTCATATTTGTGGGGTAGTGGGCAATACCCAGAGAGCGAAAATAGTTTATATTAAGTTTATTAAAGATTTGTTTTTATATTTGTTATTTATTTGTGTGTGTGTATCTGTCTCTCTGTCTGTCTGTCTCTCTCTCTGTCTCTGTCTCTCTGTCTCTCTCTCTCTCTCTCTCTCTCTCTCTCTGTGTGTGTGTGTGTGTGTGTGTGTGTGTATGACTGCAGAGGCTATAAGAAGGTACCATATTACCTGGAGCTTGAGTTAGAGGAGCTTGATTGTGAACTGGTCACATGGGTGCTAGGGACCAAACTTAGGTTCTCAGTAAAAGCAGCAACCATTATTACCAGGTGAGCCATTTCCCCATTCCCTTAAATTAGATTTTCATTCCCGCTTAATTGCCACCCATGCCAGTGATACTTGTTATCCTTTAGAATTTTGTGTTATTTTCAACTACAGTTATCTTTTCCTCAGTTATATCTACTTCTGTTTTGCCAACTTTTTCTCAACTGAGAAAGGAAATATGATATCTGAGTGGTGCTATCGCTTCAGCTGATAGACTTTGAACCAGTTTTGTATATATCTTTCTTTCAAGGTTCAAACCCATTAGCTCTTTATTGTCAAATATCCTCCAGTACAGATTATTTATATGTTGGCTTGGGAGCATGAAGAATTATCTAACACAGGCTGGAGAGATGACGCATCGGTTAAGAGTTCTTGAAGTTCTTGCAGAGGACCCAAGTTCAGTCCCCTTTCCCACTTCATGTTGCTTACAACCAACTGCATCTCAAGCTCCAGGGGATCCAACACTTCTTTTGACCTTCAGAGGCTCCCACATGCACACACACACACACACACACACACACACACACACACACTTTTTAAAAATCTTAAAAATAATTATCTGAACAACTTTGCTTATGGGTGGTGACTACAGAGTCTCCTTACTGCATTTAGAGACCCTTAGCTATCTTGTGTAAGTTGCTTATTCATTTATGTGAAAGAATTGATTTCATCATTTCAAGCTTATATGTAACTTAAACTCTCTAACTATATCCTTAATTTGCCTGTGTAAAAGATTTGTTCATTTCCACTTCCAACTATAATAACTTAATAACTTAAATTATGAACCCCAAACATAGGGTTGTTACTCTCACATGGCTCTTTGTATCTCTAATGCTTTCTTCGTTATGGATTTTAATTTTCTTCAAGTTTCACAATAAGATCATTTACAACATTTATTACTGTTTCAAGAGTCCATTCTTGCAAGTGTACATAACTTATATACTTAATATCCTGGAAGGGGAATGTGGTGGTGGAGAAGATCTATGATCCTCATAGAGTTTTCATTTTGGTCTCATCATCTGTAAATTAAATAGACTGTGAACATATTGTCACCATGGAAATATATATAAAATGGATATTCATAATATTTAAATGACTTTGCAAAAATGAAAGTGAATTATGTTTCAAAGTATATTAAGTAAAAAATCCCAGTTCCATTAGAGATATAGTCTGGAGAAAACTTAATTGCATTAAAATATCTATAAATTAATTTAATTGTGGCCTCCAATACTACATTAGTGATCTGTGTTTTCCCCCCACATAGTAGTACTGCCAAGCTTTGGAGATAGTTTTTAATTCAATATTGCATTTCTGTAAAGGGGACTATATTGTTTAATCTTAGAAGTCAAGTGTTTTGTGGGGGAGGGGGAGTTAGTGTGTGGAGACCAAGATCAGCTTAATTTCTTATTGTCCTACAATTTACTAGTTGGGGTAGTATGACTACAATTACACTCCAGGAATCATCCTATCTCTGCCTCCCCAGTGTTGAGATTGCAAATGTGTGTCACTGTGCCTGGTCTTTGTGGCTTCTGGGAAATCTAACCTTGACCTTGACCTTGACATTGGCAAGCTCTTCCCAAAATGAGCCATCTCATCAATTCAAACTTTATCTGGCTACCTTACTGTCTGATGTTCTCTGAGAAATGCAATTAAAATGGAAAGTAGCAAATCTGCAGCATTAATGAGATGTGTTAGGAAAATGAGCTTATTTAGAAGAAAATTTATGTGTGTGTTTTCTAAAAGTAAGCAAATGAGTTTCTGGAGGGAAATCTTTCCAGAAGACACAAGGCATTGTTCAAAATAAACATCCAAGTGGATGTTTTCATTTTCTGTAGTGACTACTGCTCCTCTCTTTCTAAGCCCGTGGTTCTCAACCTTCATGATACTGTAACCCTTTAATACAGTTTCTTGTGTTGTGCTGATCCCCAACCATAAAATTATTTTCATTGCCACTTTGTAACTGTAAGCTTGCTACTGTTATGAACTGTAATGTAAATATCTGTATTTTCTGAAGGTCTTGGGTGACCCCTGTGAAAGGGTTGTTCAATCCCAAAAGATGTTGCTACCTATGATTTAGAACCACTATTCAAAACTAAAGTATTAGTACATGACCATCAACTTCAAAAGGAGAAAAATGTCAACAGTGAAAAACTAAAAGCAAAACTCTAGACCATGTGACCCACACACATCTCTTTTGTACCTTTAAAAAATTGTCCTTGCTTGTGTAAATATATATGGTTTCATACAACTGAATTTTTACATGTTTTTGAAGCTAGCATTCATCATTTCATGATTTCTTGATGAATAATATATATTAGGTTGCACATGTTAGTCTCATCTTTTAAAGGTTGTGTAATATTCTTTTGTGTTTTTGTTTAATTGCTTGGCATCTCAGTGGTTTCTATTTTTGCTATTATACACAATGCTGATGTGGATAAAGTATAATTTTAAAGGTAAGAATTAAGTTATTATGAGAAGTTATCACATACTGTGCAACAATTTGGAGTCATAATATTTAAAGTTGCCTTCAACACTTTTGTTTCTGATATGCCCATTTGCTTGGAGGCAAGTGCCGGTGAGTGCAGGCACACACCTGTCGCAGGCAGGTACCTGCGTGTGTGTGCACACGTGTGTGCCTGCACACACACACACACATACATACACACACACACACACACACACACACACGTTTATTATATTTCTATGAAAAACTTTTGTTGTTGAAATTATTTACATTTTTTTACATATGTTATCAGATCTATAAACACAGATGAATACAGGTCTGATGTAATCTGGAATTTGAACAAATTTTCTGGAGACACAGGTAAATATATTTTACACTAGAAACCTGGCAATCTTCTTTCTGGTTTATATTGGATGCATCCATTTAAAGTCCTCCTAATCTTCACTGTTTTCTCCCTAATCAAAAGGTTAAATAGTTTACTTCATCTAAAATAAAGGATTTTCTGGGTAAGTCTTGGCTTTGGAAACACATTGGACTGATGATAGAGAAGATCATTCTATGTTGCTAAGGATTGCTGTACTAAGGGAGCCTGGTAAGTTCAGTTTGTAGAGTCACCGATCTGCCAATACTTTCCAGCACCTGGCCTCACCATGAGGACATCCCATCTATATTGTCAGGCAGCCCATCACCCATGCCTGAGAAAGAAGGATCTGTCCATCAAGCAGGTCAGATAAGAATTGAACTTGCTTAATGTGTTAACTTTAAATGTGTAGCTATTTGTAAGTACCTGCTTTGTTAATGGGGATGGGACCGAAGTCTCTGAAGCCATAAGAAGTTCTTGCTTCATATGTTTTTGATAGTGGTTTTGAGAAGTGTGTTCATTTCATTACTATTTGCTGAGTCCTTTATTATGGGCAATGTTGCAAAGGTGCAAAATGCTTTTTAAAAATGAGAATAAGCCGAGCGTTGGTGGCACACGCCTTTAATCCCAGCACTCAGGAGGCAGAGGCAGGTGGATCTCTGTGAGTTCGAGGCCAGCCTGGTCTCCAGAGCCAGTGTCAGGACAGGCTCCAAAGCTACACAGAGAAACCGTGTCTCGAAAAAAAGAACAACAAAAAAAATGAGAATAAATCAGATCCTCTCTTCTCAGAAGGAACAGTTAGAAAATATGTGCTATAGTCAGAAATGGTAAGGAGTAAAGCATGACAGCAAGGTGGGGTCAATAGAGACTGGGAGCTTGAGTAGGTTGTTTCTGGACCACTTCATTGAGGAAGTGGCTCTATATAAAAGACTCAAGGCAAGTGAAGCAAACAGCTATGGGTATGAGAGAAAGTAGGTATAGATGGCAAGCATGGGGTACTGGGGCAGAAGCCCAAGGTGGTGCTCTTTAAGCACTAGGGAGGAGCTGGATAATATGATAGTCTTCACTTTTAAACTTAGTACTCAGGAGACAAGGACAGGTGGATCTCTATGAGTTCAAAGTCAGATTGATCTACAGAGTGAGCCTCTGGCCATCACAGGTGACACAGTAACATCCTGTCTTAAAGAAACAAAACAAAAACAGGTCCATGCGGAGACCAGCATGCTGGAGCAGAAAACACAGGGGTGGGGGAGTGACAGGAACCCAGAACAAGAAGGTAACAGGACCATGTTAGCCATGTCCTCATCTGTCACAGCTGTAACTCTGGATCAAACAGAAAGATGTTGGAGTTTATAGAAGCATGACATGAGCTGAAATTCTTTCCAGTAAGATTTGAATGAAATCATTGTGGGAAGACTTGAAAAAGGGCAAGTCAGAGAGACTGGTTAGGTGATGCTAATGACAAAGAGAGTACAGAAGCTTGGACCAAGGTCATAGAAGTGAAGCTGGTATGAAGAGATTGAATTAAAGATATATGTAAGAGCAGACTTAAGTATATAAGATGTATTGAGGGCAGAGGTATCCAGGGAAAGATATATTTAAGAACAGCTTGTTTTTTTTTTTTTTTAGGGACAGATTTGTCTAATAACCAAGTATGATCTCATCTATGCCTCGAGGCACTTCTGCTTCTTGCAGATGGAGAGTGTTACCTGCATCCATGGATACAGCAAAACATTCTAAAGTGATCAAGGTAGCACCCACCCCTGAACATAATATCAGCCCTT